AGACAGAGTCTTGCTCTGTCACCAGGCTGGAGTGCAATGGCACAATCTCAGCTCTCTGCAACCTCCGCCTTCCGTGTTCAAGCAATTCTTCTGCCTCAGCCTCCCAAGTAGCTGGGAATACTGGCACGCGCCACCACATCCGGCTAATTTTTGTATGTTTAGTAGAGACAGGATGTTACCATATTGGTCAGGCTGGTCTCAAACTCCTGATCTCATGATCCACCCACCTTCGGCCTCCCAAAGTCAACACTGGGATTACAGACATGAGCCACTGTGCCCGGCCAGGCTGCTATATATTTTAAGCAGAAACAAAGAGCCACAACGCAGCCAGGATTTGATTTAAAATCCTGTTCTTCTGGTGGAAAAAAAAGGCAAAATATTAATCATTGTGAAACATAGGTGGAGGGTCCATAAGGTGTGCACTCGTAGCCTCTCTCTCTACACACACACACAGACACACACACGTACACACACACACAATTTTTTTTTAAAGACAGGGTCTCACTTTGTCATTCATGCTCCAGAGCAGTGGAACCATCTCGGCTCATCGCAGCCTCCACCTCCCAGGCTCAAGTGATCCTCCTGCCTCAGCCTCCCAAGTAGCTGGGACAACAGATGCACACCACCATGCACAGCTAAATATACTTTTATTCAAAATAAAAATTTCAGTACCTATATAAAATACAGCCATCACACACATAAAAGACATAAGACTTCACCAGCAATCAAGGAAACACAAAATAAGAAATACCGTTTATATCAGATAAATCTACCTGGTAAAGATAAAAACATAATTCTCCAAAATCAGGCTTTCTACTGCCTATTAAAATTAATTGGTACATATTTCTTGGAGGCAATCTGGCAATGTTTATCAAGAACCTTCAAAAGGGCATACTTTGACCTGCCAATTCCGCTTCTCAGAATTTGTTCTAAATAAATACAAGAGTTTTATGTCACAATAAAAAAAAGAATTGAAGGCCGGGCTTGGTGGTTCACATCTGTAATCCTAGCACTTTGGGAGGCCGAGGCAGGCGGATCACCTGAGGTCAGAAGTTCAAGACCAGCCCGGCCAACATGGTGAAACCCCGTCTCTACTAAAGATACAAAAAATTAGCCAGGCATGGTGGCACGCACCTGTAATACCAGCTACTCGGGGAGGCTGAGGCAGGAGAATCACTTGAACCCAGGAGGCAGAGGTTGCAGTGAGCCGAGATTACGCCATTGCACTACAGCCTGGGTGACGGGGTGAGGCTCCGTCTCAAAAAAAAAAAAAAAAAAAGAATTGAGAGAGATGAAAAATAATCAAGCAAGTGAACAGATATTATAATAGTGAAAAAAAATCAATAAATGACTAAGTTACAGAATACTCAATGGGATGCTAGGAGTCATGAAAAACAGATATGGAAAGCTAACTATAATATATTTAAGTTAAAAAATAGGCTATATAGCAGTATGTATACATGACTATATTTTAATGTGAAATATATAAAATGCATATGACTAGCTATCTGTATGTATATGAACACAAACTCAAGTTAGTAGCTTTTAGTATTACAAGCAGCTTTACTGTTTTTCGTTGTTGTTGCTCCCCAAGGTATAATCCCATTTATTAAAATCAAAACAGGCTGGTCACTGTGGCTCATGCCTGTAATCCCAGTACTTTGGGATACTGAAGTGGGAGGATTGCTTGCACTAAGGAGTTAGAAGCCAGTCTGGGCAATATGACAAAACCCCATATGTACAAAAAGTAGCCAGGTGTGGTGGCACATGCCTTTAATCCCAGCTACTTTACAGGCTGAGGTCAGAGGATCACTTAAGCCCAGGAGGTTGAGAGGCTGCAGTGAGCTATGATTACACCAGGCTGAGTGACACAGTGAGATCCTATCTTAAAAAAAAAAAGGGTGGGTTAAGGGTTGTGATTACAGGTGTGTACCACCACATCCAGCCTGATAATTTACATATTTAATATTACATAATTTCACATTTTTAATTTTTTTCTTTTTTTTGAAACAGAGTCTTGCTCCGTTGCCCAGGTTGGAGTGTAATGGCGCAATCTCGGCTCACCGAAACCTCCTGAGTTCAAGAAATTCTCTTGACTCAGCCTCCCAAGTAGCTGAGATTACAGGCGCCTGCTACCATGCCCAGCTAATTTTTGTGTTTATTAGTAGAGATGGGGTTTCACCATGTTGGTCAGGCTGGTTTTGAACTCCTTATCTCAGGTGATCCACCCGCCTCAGCCTCCCAAAGCGCTGGGATTACAGGTATGAGCCACTGTGCCCCACCCTAATTTATTTTTATTTTTCAACTTTTATGTTCAGGGTGTATGTACACATGCAGGTTTGTTACATGGGTAAATTACATGTCACTGGAGTTTGGTAAACAAGTGATTTCATCACTCAGAAAGTAAGCATGGTACTACCTGATAGGGCTTCGTTCTGAATTTGCTGGGTTTTTATATCCAGCATTATTACTTTTACAATCAGGTATTAAAAAAAAAGAAATTTCATTTCCCAAAAAGGTAAAGCTCTTCATGGAAAAAAGACAAAGGTGCAAGTTCAGTAAATTCATAAAATAAATACAACAGACCTTTAGAACATGAAAGTACTCATGAGAAATAACAAAACAGGGTGGGAGGAGGGTGAGGATCAGGAAACTACTTGTCAGGTACTATGCTTATTACCTGGGTGACAATCTGTACGCCAAACCCCCATGACATGCAATTTATCCACATAACAAACCTGTACA